ACCAGTGCTCCCAGTGAGATTCACACCGACTGTGCTGGAATGAAATATAAATATTAGACAGCAGGAAGAAGGACAAACAGAAGTGCGTACATAGACACAATAACAAGTTGCAAAGTGCTCGCACAACAAGAATAGTACGCAGTGTGAGTCCACTGTAATGAGCTGGGACTCCAGTGTGAGGAACACACCAAGAACGTGTTTTTCACTCGTCACGTGATCCAGCCGTGTGCACAGCTGCTTCCAGCTCCTTCAGCCCCACAGCTGCCTGCATGCTGACAGGGCTGCGTCTCCTCCTCCGTGGCCTAACGAGCCACAAGCTCATTGTCATGTTCATTAATGTGCAAACTGTCATGACCACGAACGACCACGAGCACCATTCGCAGAGTCGGGGAGCGTCTGTGGGACGTGTTCTTAGCTCGGCTCACAGGTGGTCCTTATGTAAACATCCTGCGTGACTTCTGGTCGCTCTTAAAGTTAATAATCCATCAATGAGCTATTAAAAATCAAAGCTGCAGACTCTGGTCAGCACGTGCTGAAGCTCCTCCCCCTGTGCCACGGGCAGTCTGGGTTACTTGATTTGAGTTGATATACCCTTATTGCTGATTACTGGCTGGTGAGAAGCTGTCATCAGGCTCCAGAGGCCACTCGGAGCCGTCTGTTGGTCACACCTCTGGAGTTTGCTCTTGTTGTTTTTACCTCGTCCTTAGTGGGTTTTATCCAAGTGCACCGCTGTGGAAAGCTGCCACACCGTCGCCCCGCAGTTCACCGTCCGAGGTTCTTTCAGCCTTCGTCATGTTTGCATCTGCTGTGTTATGAGATCTGCTTGAATTCAGGATGAATAGTTGAGATGATGATTTTTAATGATACCATGGTAACCTCTTTCCTTCTCGCCTCACGCACGTGTCTCCTGAGCAGGACGTCGGCGACAAGAAAAGTTCCATTCAAGGTTATCAGATGGCATCAACTCACAACAAGACTGTCGTCAAGGTGATTTTTATGCTACTCTACAATATTCAGGAGAAAACCTCATCACACAATCCCCTGTCAACAGCACTGGGCGACAGTGGGAAGGAAAAACTCCCTTTTAACAGGAAGTAACCTCCGGCAGGCTCAGGGATGGGCGGGGCCATCTGCAAAGACATGCTGTGGAAGAGAAACAGATTAATAACAGGTATGATTCAGTGCAGAGAGGTCTGTTAACACACAGTGAGTGAAGAAGAAACACCCAGAGCATCATGGGAATCCTCCAGCAGGAGCATCATGGGAATCCTCCAGCAGCCTACACCTATTGCAGCATAGCACCGTGGCTCACGGTGACGTCACTCGTCATTTTGTGTTTGCTCCTGAGGCTGTGACCCTCTGATGTCATCTTCCTTTGTCTTATCAAAGTGTTATTGAATTCCTGTGTCAGTGAGGACGATCGTCTTTGCTTTAACGTCATTATGGCCACAGTACAGTCACTGCTGGGACCAGCAGCAGACTGGTAAGAGGCTCCGTCACACGTGACCCGGGCCAACACCAGGACCGGGTGGATTCTCTTTGTCTGTGACCCAGAAGGAGGAGCGCCGTGTTTCACACAGGCTGCTGATATTCCCTGACACACAAACACCCTGCGGCTTAAATATGTGCTGTTTTCAACATTTGTAAAATGTCCCCAGAGCTTTTACAAGCGTATATTAAAGTGGACACCCAGCAGACGTGGTTAATTATCCTGCTTTAGAAAATGAGATTAATTGGGGGCACTATAGACAAAAGACGTCTTTTTTTCATGTGTAATTTGCGTTTGGCAGCACGGCGCAGCTCTCCCACCTTTCCACACGCTGCAGTCAGCATCGTCACAACAGTTTGGGCACGGTGTTTCTCATACCGCTGCTAATAGAACAGTTCTACAAAGAAGCTGTGGAAGTGTAATAATATCTCAGTCCTTCAGCCATCGAGGAGTGCAGGAAGGAGCACCGAAGAATAAAAGACCAGCAGCAGGAAATCATTCAACCGCGGGGTTCTTGTAGGGTCTTCACCTCACAGTATAAAGCACGTTGAGGTGGCGTTTGCTGTTGGTGCTATTGAATAACACCAACAAAGATCTGTGACATATAGAACTGTTTGGATCACAGGAAGTCTGGTCCCAAACTGAGAGTAAGAGGAATATCTGAGCTGCCATCGCAGCAGGAAATGCCTCGAACAACTTTAAAGGAACATCTCCCCTCGGTACAAACACACGCACACACACACGCACACACACACACACGCACACACACACGCACACACACACAGTATGTATCAGTATTGTGGTTACTGGCTCCTCGGTGAGTCTGAATGCTGGGATGTGTGGGCTGCTTGTTCCTCCTGTGTGATTCAGGGTCTGGTCTTTCTATAAGCGAGGTCATTAATGCAGCCGTGCTGAGGCATGTTTGGATACTTTTAGTGAAGCAGACACGGAGCTGACTGCAGCCAGCAGCGCTCTCTCACAAAGCATCCATCATGACAGTTCAGCATGATAACAGCAGCACAGAGCAACATAAATTTCTGGCTTTGAAAGTATTTTTATGCTGCACACCCACATGGAAAAGATGTGTATGAATCTTATAAAGTTTGTATCTGTCTTGTGTGAAACTTGTATGAAAAGCATATAAGTGTGAAAACAGATATAAGATCCCTTGAAAAATTATATAATGAAACTTGTATGTTTTAGATACTTCCTAACACAATGTATGAAAGTAATGAGAAAGTGGCCACTTTCATGAGTAATCATATAAGTTTTCACTGTTTCTTTTCCATATGGGTGTTTTCACATTAATAATCTGTGCATGTAGTTACTGTTTTGTGTGTTTCAGTACTACAAACTGTTACACAGACACCAAATTAAATAATGTGAGGCTGCTAACGAGCAGAAGATGAACGTTCAAGCAGCAGTGCTGGAACCAACCCTGCGCTTCCTTCAATTTAGAAAATTAATTTCATTTTTGGTCTTCAGGGTTTAGCAGGACGGTCTGATGGCACGCTAACATGTTCGGAGCCTTCCTCGGCGTCACTCCTCCTCCCCCGCATCCCATCCACGGCCAAACCAAATACCTTTGTCCATATCTGCAGTGATCCATCACTGTGGCCATCGCACACGCACGCACGCGCACACGCACATGCACGCACGCACGCACACGCACACACAAACTGTTTCCAGCAGTGTGTTTTATTTCTTTTAAAGACATGTTGTTGATGTCACAGCTGCATGAGGTCAGTGTGCGCGCAGCGTGATTCACACGTTAGTCTGTGTGGGTTTTAAAGGCTGATGTGACCAACAACATGGCTGCTGTGAGGTCGCTGTAACAGAGCGTCCACGTGTCAAAGTCTGGAGACAAAGCAGATGGTGGAGTGTGATGAGGACCCAGAGTGCAAACAGGGAGAACGTACAGTGTGAGGAAAACATGAAACAGCCCAAAAAGAGCGTATCTATGGAGGACACAGATACGCTGACTAAGACTAAAGAAGACATCAACTCTAAATACTCGGGAGGCTGATGAGCAGAGAGCAGACACGAATCACCGAGCACGAGAGACTAAAGAACAGGAAGAAACAGACGGCGGCGTCTAACATACAAACAACAACAGGACACCAGCAACACAATCACAGTGTCAGGCCCAGATCTGTCACCCAGTATTTCCAGTTTATTTTGTTTAATGATTGTGTTATTATTTTATTGAGTCTAGTTATGTCTCTTCTATGTGTCCTTGTTTCCTGTATAAGTCTGTCTTGTCCTCTGTGCCCGTGTCCTCGTCCCTCTTATCTGCGTCTCTCCTTGTGTTCTGTGTCTCCCCGTCTGTCACGTCTGCTGTTCCTCGTTCGACATTTGTCAAGCTCGTCATGTCTTCGTCTCTTGTTGTTCCCGTTTGATTTTGAAGAGTCTGGTGTTCCGTGTTCAGTGTGTTTACTTCCTCTGTGGCGTTCAGGCTCATTTGTGTCAGCTGTGTTTGTCTCGCTACATGTCCCGTGAGTCTCGGCTCTTCATGTCTCAGGTTTTCTTCATGTTCCTGTTCAGGCTGTGTTCATGTCATAGCTTTAGTTTCTCCAGTTCACCTTGATTTAGTTTTTTGCTATCAGCCTAATAAACGGCTGGTTTTCTCTGTCCTGTGCCTGCTTTTGGGTCCACAAACACCCGAAACCCGTAACACACAGGCTAGACTACATGTAAGAGGATCTGAGAATGTAAACATAAGTAAAATCATCCATGAAGATCCGAACGAGAAATAAGAAAACACCAGTCAAAATACCACAATGCCAAATATAAAACTCAGTGTCAGCCTCTCTTTCGGGGCTCCAGGAAGTCCGAGCTCACGTTTCTGATACGATTTTATTTTTTAAATGTCATTGATCAGCCTTAATGCACATCCAGATGTGTACAAGCTGAAACATTCTGCCTTTGGGCCTCGGGGCGGCTGCGATGGAGGCAGATGTTTCACTTTAAGCTGCTTCACTGATGAGAATTCTCTTCTTGGATTTTTTTCTTGCAGGGAAGAAAAACCTTCCCCAGTGAACACGTGCGCTCCACTTCTTCAGTAAGTCTTTTTGTTTCTCGAGCAGATGTTGGGAGTCGTCTCATTCTCGAGGCGGTGCGCTGAAGGTTTGCCAGAATCGGACCGTCACTGACTGTTATCAGCACCAGAAACTAGTTTCCTGTCATGGGAGCTCCAAGGAAAAGGCGGGGCCTGTACAGCATGCAGGGTCTGTTCCTCTGAAGAAGGCGGGACTTTCCTAGAGAAGCACATAATGAGCTGAGGGAATGAGGTGCACTGATCAACCATGGAGTCAAAGCTGTAAGCACACAGTATGCTTGGTGTGGTTCATCTGAACATATGTACACATGTTATATCAGCACCCTCTGAAGAGCCCACCGGTGTGTCCTCTGAAGCACCACAGAGAAGCAACCAAGTATGTAGGCCATGTAAGAGCTCAAGGAAGAAAACAGGAAGCAGGTTTGCTGCAGAACAACATGTAAACTCCACAGACCAATCTGGTGTCTTTAGCTATAAATTACACTCACATGAGCAATCACTTCTCCCCCACTGCAGGCTGGTGGGAGGAGTGGAGACAGCAGCAAGGCGTTTCCTACAGAAAAAGTTACAGCTCCCTATATGGCTAACCACTCGTGTGCTGTATGTGTGGAGGGCACGGACGCAGAGCGGCACATCTGTAAGTGACTCGCAGCCTGTGCATGGGTAGGATGGCTGCAGCGATTTATCTGGGGAAAGAGCAGATAGTGATTGATTCAGAGGCTGATGTTCATGCAGCTTCTCTGTGCAGTTTTCATTGGTTCAGAAACTCCTCAGTTTTAACCTGTGAATTCATTTATTTCAGTTTGAACATGAATGTTGTGTCAGACAGTAGAAAGGTGACGCTTAGCTATGAATGTTTCCTGTAAAGGACGACAAGTGTGGGGAAATGATTCATTCCTATTGCTGATTATTATTCATGCAAAGACTAACAGGAGCTGATGCATTTAAAGTGCTTTGTTTGCATTTCATCTGTGAGGTAAATGAGTCTATGGAGGCTTTTTAATGCACAGAATGTGCAAAGTTTTTTTTCCTGCAGCAGTTTTTGTGATGATTGTTTGATTTTTAGTCAGAGACAGTCGTTCAGATGTTTTACTTTGTGGTTCATCACTGAGACGCGATGAGGTGCAGTTTTTTATTGCTGGTTGGGTTTTGTGGTTTGTAGAGTCTTTGTTAGCCTCAGCCTGCGGTGCTGCAGTGTGACTGTGGCTTCATCTGAATACTGCTGACTCTGAAATGTCTCAAATGCTCTAACGTCGAAAATCTAAAGAGCTTTTTCATTTCAAGCAGAAACTGTTTGGCAAGGACATCAGTTTAGTTTTTATCACAATCAAACTCAGAGTCAACTTTTCAGCTGTTAGCTTTTACTGCATGAGAAAAGTTTGCTGGAGGCTCGGGTGGAGTCAGAGCCAGAATGCATGGACAATCAATACTTTCTGATTAGGGCTGGGTGTCCTCACCGATTTCTATCATCGAGTGTGAAAAACTCTGATCGTTTATCAGCACGTATCCATGTATAAGACAAAGCTGACGCTGTGAGGCTCCATCAGAGGTGTGAGCATCACTGCAGACGTCTTTGTGTCAAAGTAACTGAGGATAAAACATGAAGCAGGTTTTCCTGTTCTGGCTTTTTATAGCAGAGAAGCTTCGAACTCTTCTGCAGTCGATCAAAGACTGAAGCAACCTGATGCTGCTGAAGTGAAGCAGAGTCACAGAGGTTCGATCACAGCTGAGCAATCATTGTGTTTCAGCCCCGACGGCTGTGGACGATCCACGCTCTGTGGACGATCCACGCTCTGTGTTTCTGCTCTCATCTCCTGGTTGAGCTGATTCTGGAGTTTCTGATTAATTACATTTATATTTAAATCCAGGATTTAATGAATCGAGATCACTTTATTCAGACCAAAATCGATTTGAATCAGGAAATAGATTTTGTTTTTAAACACAACCTTATTTCTGATCGATTCTTCTGTTTCAAACATCCTGAACTTATCTTTGGGATGAAGACGCTAAAAACAGATTTCTGAGAAAACAACATTTGCACAAGTTTTATGAGATTTTTATTATTTAAAAGGACACAAAACACATCAGTTAAAATATTTAAACATGTTAAGATGTGACCGTCTGTTACAGACAGACACAAAATATAAAATGAAAACATTTCTTATCATTCTGTGAGGTGTTATTTCAGTTACCTTCATTTGGGTCCCCTGACGTGAGCTCATTTGAATATTGCCTACACCACCAAGATCGCACTTAAGTTTGTTTGATTTTAATTTATTGATGAAAGTTTGTGGGTCCTCCTCTCAGCCAGGAGTCATGAAATCCATCCCAGCATTAATCTGAGGATTAATCTGGGGTAGGAGACAAACACAAGTCACTGCCTTTGAGTAACATCGAGCTTAATGTCCACTGAAAAACACCAGAAACAGACAAAGTTCAGATAATCAAATAATAATCAAACAAATGTGTTGGAGAGGAAGTCAAACTGTTTTTAAGGATGAGGCTGAGGATGGCCGTGCGAGTCTCTGCAGGCCCTCGCGGAGATGCAGACATTCATGGACGCTGTGGGATATCAGAGCTCTAACTGCTGAGCTGTGAATGTAAAAGCTTCGAGTTGAAGCTGTGCTGTGTGGTTAATGTGTTCGTATCTGTAGACTAATATTTAAAAAAGGACAAATGACGCTGATAAAAGCTGACATCTGTAAAACAAAGATTAGTTTCTCTGCAGGTTTGTGTCGTGTTTTTGTCACTGTTGAACTTCCATACGGTGAGCCCCCATCCTCTCCAACTGCAGCTCCTCTGGTTTCCATTTCAGTCTTTGGACGGCGCCTAAAAAGCTCTGCAGTTTCATCATATAGGTCCAGAATCAGCACCGCTCTCCAGCATTTTCTCGATGCTCTCAGCCTCTTCTGAAAGATTTTATTTATGCAAGTATGCAAATTTGCATTGATAGGGGCGTGGCCTCTGAGTGACGTTTTATTTGGATGTGACTGTAAGTGTCGCTAATTATTCCTGTGATGCTACAGGCAGAGTTACAGACGTGCAGCGTCCACCTGTGGAGCTGTGGGAGAGTTTAAGAAAGCTTTTATTCTGAAAACTGAGGGTGGGGGCTTCCACTGTATTCCACTCGTCAGCTTATTAAAATCAGTTTATGACACTGATCTGACACACCACACCCACAACGATGGACACGCCCACACTGTCGACTGCAGCCATGTATGACCTGCTCATTTTATAGCTTAGATCCCCTCCTGTGAGCCATAAGAGAGTGTGTGTGTGTGTGTGTGTGTGTGTGTGTGTGTGTGTGTGTGTGTGTTTGTACTGTTGGGCCTTTTTTGGTCAGAGTTTACATTTCTAAATGTAAAGTCATTAGCAGGGAAAGTTTGTGAAGGCAGGGACCAATCAGATCATGAGATTAGAATCAGACCCCTCCTCCTGTGTGTGTGTGTGTGTGTGTGTGTGTGTGTGTGTGTGTGTGTGTGTGTGTGTGTGTGTCTGCTCTCATCTCGGTGGGCTGTGATAAGCAGCACAAATTCAGAAATTCCTCCACAAACAGTGACGTAGCCTCTGCAGAACGATCCAATCTGAGCTGAACAGCTTGGGTTTAAGGACGACCTGTGTGGTCACTAGCAGTAGAAAGTGGAGGCTGTGGAGACGGTGTCTGTCACCTGAACCCAAACTGGAAGCTGGTTCCACAGAAGAGGGGCCTGAAAACTGAAGGCTCTGCCTCCCATTCTAGTTTTAAATACTCTATTTTGAATTTAAAATAATTATACAATTTAACGTGATATGGTGATATTTACATTGATGCATGCGTTTGATAGTAAAACGAGACCTGTACGGGGAGCGGGCTGGGCCCGGGTCTGAACTGAGCTCCTGAGTGTTCTCGAAACTAAATCAGTTTGTCAGCTGGTCATGATTCACGAATGCCTCCCACTGCATCATGTGACACGGTGTGAGGCACATTCACTGTCTCACTAAAGAAACACAATCATACTTGTACGTGTAATCATCCCACTTGGAGGGATTATGAAGTGGGAGTTTTCACCATAGTTGAGTCTGTCCAACTTTCATTGTTTTATTCTGGGAAACATGAACCCAGCAGCCGCCGCCGCCAGGGTCTCATAATGCTTTAGTTTTGGCGCATGAACAGAAACCGTGAGCGAGTTTCTTGCTGGAGGACATGGACCTTTGGAGTCTTTTTAACATCTGCTGATGTTCTGAGCTGAAACTTGTGCATCAGGCTCTGCTCTGTTATGATGGGAGGATGTGACTCTCGCTGGCTCAGTTTTTGCATCTGGCCTGTGTTATATTCACAGAGCATCAGCTGATGGCACGGACATACAGACATGTTGTGTTCTTTAATTTTCTGCTGCTTTAAATAATTAGAATCTAAAAAAAGCTCCAGGTACAAACTCAGCGACAGTTCGAGAGGCACCGATGACAGTTTGTCCTGGAGCATACATCGAGATGCCAAATTAGGAAAGGTGCGATGGAGGCTTTCGTGCACATGTTGAGTGTGTTTGGGGAAAGCGGAGACGTCCCTGCAGACACGCCACTCCTCCGCTCACATCTGATTTATTTTTTCCTGTTTATCTGCTCTCGAGCAGGACGCTGGCCTCGCAGCAGGAAGCGCCTTTGGTTTTGTGTATTTTCTGTGTACACATGTGAGACTGATGGATCAGCAGCAGCTTTGGAAGGTGAAGCAAAAACTGAAAAGTGGTTATGCAGTGCCCCGTCTGATGGATTCATCCTCACATGAATGGAAATCTCGTCAGTGCGCCATAATCTGTACTTTGATTCTAGGACTCAGCAGCTTTGCATGATCAGCTGTCCAAAATGAGCCTTCTTTATCTCACACTGGGCTACAGCTGTTCTCACCTTTCTTCTGATTGGCTGCCCCTGAAAAACAGAGGGCTTGAGGTGGGTGTGGCTTCTGTGCCATGAAACAGAATGCAAGCACTGAGCTCAGTGTTGGAAACAGTCATGTTTAACATGAACGTCCACCAAAGAGACAAAGTGGACCTAGTGTGCTTTTCATGACTTCTTGTCATATACCAGCATCGGATGTGAGCTGGAACATCACACGGGAATATTTCTAACACCTTGAGTTATTTTCCAGTGTTAGAAGATCAGCACTGCTCAGTGTTAGCCTTTGTTAATCTTCAAAACTGACTAGGTTACTTTTAAACATATAACACTGTCAAAAGTGTAAATTTAACACTCAACAGTGTTGTATTTAACACTCAGAGGAGTGGACCCATATAGATTTTGCTGTGTAGCTTCATTCTCAAGCTGGGAGCGTCACACAAAAACAGGTTCCTGCTGATTAGTGTTCCGATTTTTACTCTGCAAAACCGGAGCTCCGCCTTCTTGGATGGTCTGTTAGCACAGTGACCTCACAGCAGCCATGTTATGGCCCCGCCCCTCCCCGAACCTGATTCTGTCGGAGGTTTCTTCCTGTTAAAAGGGAGTTTTTCCTTCCCACTGTCGCCAAAATGCTTGCTCATAGGGGGTCATATGATTGTTGGGTCAACCTCACAATATAAAGCAACTGTTGTTGTGATTTGAAACAGGATCCAGAGGTCCAGCTGCTACGTCTTCTCTGCTAATGTTTCATTAGCGCACCTGCTGCAAACCACAGGAACACCTGTGAAGTCCTTTTGGTAAACCGCTCTGCCCTAACCCTAAGTGTAACGGACTTCAGCTGCTCTACAGTTTCTGTGACTGTGCTGTTACTAGAACAACAGACACGTGACACTGTCTGTACTTTAAAATGACAGAGGAAAGTGTACTGGCACTTCAAATAAAGCTCAGAGTCGACCACATCAAGACGAGGAAACCAAACGCTGTTTTGTTTTTGATTTGTTTGCCTTACAATCTGAACATTTGTAGCTTCCCACACATGTAAATTAGCAATGGTTTCCTTTGACAGAACATGAGGGAATACCTGCACTTCAAACGGGCAGCTTTAATCCCAGAACAGCGCAACATCAGTCTGACACAGCATAAAAGGTGGTTTGCAGCTGTGCAGCAACTGTACGCAGGGGAAAGCAGCTTTGATGTAACATCCAGCAAAAATCTTTCAAACTGAATCCGACGAAATTCATCAGCTAATGACATCTGGAAACGAGATCAGCTGATCTCACAGCTTTGTCTGAAGTTACACGTTAGATGGCCCTTTGACCAAAGCGGAAACCAAATCTGAAGTCAAGCTGTTAACTGCATGATGGAAATGTGTTGTAGACACAGCTCTGCGTGCAGCTGCAGCGCCTCATTGAACAGATGTCTAAACAAAACGAGGTTAATTAGATAAACCCAGAGTTCCTCCTGCGAGTGAGCGTTTGGCATGTCGAGGCAGCGTTACGGGCGAAGCTGCTGGTTGCTGATGCTGACTCTTCTTTGTTTGTTTTTGCGATCCAGGATCATCAGAGTCTCCTGACCACCCGTCATCCAGCTGAAGTGTCCTTGAGCCAAGCGCCGACTCTCTGCCAGGTAGTGATTTATGTTTAAAATCCTGCTTAAACGTTTAATAAAGAAGAAGAAAAGTCAGTTACCGAACTGTAAAAATTTATAAAACTGAATATATTTTCTAATTTCTGGCTGTGGCTCAGGTGGCAGAGCAGGGCAGCCACTCGTCAGAAGGTCGGTGGTTTGATCCCAGGCTGCCTCCTGATACTCTAGCGCTATACAAATACAGGCCATAGTCTCGTCACTTCTATCGTTGGCCATGAGTGTTCGTAAACATGTGACATCTGTTTGGTTTCTCCTTGCACCTCGCAGCTGATTCACTGCACACATACACTGACACCTGAAATAAGCTGTGAAACCTTCAGTGTTTAATTAACATTTCATCACAGATGCTCGAATCTTTGTTCTTCTTCTTTGGTGCTTTAATCTCGCCTCAGAGGGATTCACCTCCTCCACTGCTGCGGTGACGTTTGTTGGTTTGGGAGCTGATTGTGGAGTTTTATTGGTGGCTGAAGCTGATGTTGGGTCGTCTCTGATCCTCTGTGGTTTTCATCTGTTGTTGCTTAGTTTAAGTTGTGACAGGAAGTAATTACATAATTAGCTTTAGCTCCGGCTTTCTCCAGGATGTTACTGCAACAAATCCATAATGAGGAGTTTCCTGCAGATAACTATCGGTTTTAGTTCTGAGCCCTTCGAGTTTGCTGTTTGATTTTCTCTCACATTGGGAACATTGTGAGAGAAAATGCAAACAAACAAGTCAAAAGTGGTTTTCTCACATTAAAAAGTGCAGAAAAAGCTGCTCCAGTGTTCAAAAGGAAAACATAAAAAGCATCTGTAAATACAGGATTTAGTTTCAGTCAGTTTCCAGCAACCTGAAACACAGAAGGCTCCCAATGAAGAGCTCTGTGTCTGTAGCTCCTCATCACATGTCAGTGTTCATGTGGTCCTAGATTAGAACCAGGCCCGCGTGGTTCTGTGGACGGTCTTGCAGTCCTCCCCTGCAACAGAAATGTAATTTCTGGTGAAATGCATGCGTTCGAGTAAAACACAAAAATCAAATGATACTTCAGCACTTTCATGTTTTTACTGCCTGGGACAAACACATGCATTTTAGATACTAACCATTCGCCCTGAAATCCGCTGCTATGGCACTGCATCAATATCCACACCAGCCGCCTGATTCACATCTTTGTCTTAGTGTTTACGTCTGAACTTAAAACGCACAAAGCAAAGTTGAAAACCAGCAGACGACTCTACAAACACGAACAGGTAGAAACGGAGGCTGCGTGCTCGTCGCTCAGGCTGCAGGCTCGGGTCGGCGTGCGCTCAGCTCTAACACCAGTCTGGCTTCTTGGCTAGCTTAGCGTTAGCATGCTGTCTGTGCAGACACTTGCAAAGACCAAAGCTGTGTTAGCAGCTTCTGTCCAATTTTACTGTCACACTCTTGTCCTGTTGTGCAATAAAAATAAAAGTAAGGTCACTGTGCTAACAGACCATCCAAGACCATCCACATCTCCGCTCCTCAAAAGCTGTATTGCTGTAGTGCTCCATTGTCTGCCTTCCAGTCGATTGCACAGGAAGAAAAATGTCACGGTGCGACCCAGTACCAAGACATTTTAGTTTTATTTTGTTGATTATTGTATTTTTTCTCCATGTTTCCTGTTTTATTTTGAAGGAGTCTTGTGTTCTTTGTTCAATGTATTTAGTTTCACTTCCCCTGTCCTGTCATTAGGTTCATGCCAGTTTCCTGTTACTAACATAATCACTTCCTGGTTTTGAACCACCTTCAGCACAGAGACCGAATCAGCCCAGACTCCTGCTGCTGTCTCTGGCTGCACCGACCTGATGTTTGAGCCAGTTTATGTCCTCGGTGCATTAACAATACTCCGTAATTTATGTTGTTTGTTTTCAGTGGCGACTACCGATATCAGATTTTAGCCCCGGTGAGAATTCTGGGAAACCACAAATATTTTTAAGTAACAGAGCTTTGGTTGGTTTCCTAACTCTGAACAAAAACATGCTGAGGGATTTTAGTTTTATGGAGTTCTCATCTTTGGACCCTCACTGCCCTCTTTTCAGGCTCCATTAACATTCGTTCAGCTTTAGAGGCACTTTCAGTAAATTAAGCTAATGCGAGACGCCTCGTCAGAGCTGCCAGACACGAGGGGGGGATTTTTTTAATGATTATAACTCTGTGGGTAACACCAGTCTGCTGGTTAGCTAACGTGTGCTTACAATGCTTCCTTTGTGTTTGTATCACTGTTACAGCTGTGCATATTTTTATTTTCACATCTCCAAACTCTCAAATAAGAGGAGAAACATGCACAAAACGAATCCCAGGCGTTTGGGCTCTGAATATTCAGTTTTAAATCTGACCACACCTCGTCGCAGATGTCAGCTGGTCAGGGTAGAGTAGGTGGTCAAGTCTCTGGGCCACCTGCAAGGTGATGAGCCCACTAGGAATATCCAGGCCTCGCCAGCTTTCAGAACAGAAGAAAAGGCTCGGATGAGGTGAAACAGTCGGGTTTCCTTCAGTTCAGAGTTTAAGATTCAGACACGAAGGACTGAGAGGCTGCAGGAAGAGCCGGAGAAAGGTCATTTGTGAGCAGAGATGGGCAGTAACGTGTTACTGTAATCCGATTACTTTTTTGTAACGAGTAAAGTAAGGGATTACTATTGCAAAAACAGTAATTAGATTACCGTTACTTTCCCGTAGGAACGCTGCGTTACTGCGTTACTAAAACCGTGATTTTTTTGCGAGAATGTCTCATGACAGTGACGTAAGCGAGTGCGACGTTCGTGACAACAGCTGTGTGCAGATCAACAATGGATCACATATCGAGTGCAGAGAGAGTATGAGCGTGCAGCGTTTAAAGCGTGGAAGTACTGACCTTACTTTGAGTTTGATTCCATAAAAAGTGACAAAAACATGAGTGTCCGCTGTGCGTGGGAAGAAAACTTCTTTTTACAGCGAAAAAACCCCTAAACTTCCAACAAGCACCGAGTAGCTACGACGTAATGGGAAACTCACAGAGAAACTCGCGGATTCTTCCACTGACCGCGGCACACCTGCACCAGGGTAACCCTCCGCCTACCCCACTCCTGCTTTACAGGTGAAAATAGAGCAACAGGACCGCTGAGTCTTTGACTTTATTTATTTTCTGCTGTGTTTTACTTGCATCTATTTGAAAGACTGAGTGTAAACACAAAAATATTTTATTTTATGTGCTGGAATGTGCAGAAAATAGGTTTAAATGTTAAACTAATTTCTTCCAGTCAGAGAATGTTGCATATAATTAAATTTTTGCTTGATGCATAAAGTTAAAAGATTAAAACTAATAAAACAAGTTTTAAAAAGAGACTTTTCCATTTGATTACATTTTGTATGATGGATTATGCAGAAAAAGTAGAATTGGGCTGAAAGATCTATCGCTTTATCACCTCTTCAGGTTGTAAATCGTGTTTTTAAAAAGTAACTAAGTAATTAATTACTTTTGAAAATAAGTAATCAGTAAAGTAACGGGATTACTTTTTGGGGGAAGTAATCGGTAATTAGTTACTGATTACTTTTTTCAATTAACTTGACCAACACTGTTTGTGAGTCAGAGCCACTTTAGTAAAAGCAGAGAGCTGACGAGGCGAATGAATAACAAATGCATGGCGCGTTTTTCTCCTCGGCTCTTTTTGAAGTGGTGAAATTTTCCCAATAATTAAAATCTGATTTAGCAAACTGGTGCATCTGAGTTTGTACTTTAAAAACATCCTGAAGTTAACTGGTTGGCTCCAGTTTGACGGACTGGTAAGAGAAATTGGCACAGATCTCAGATCTGCATTTCCAATGAAAAGCAACAGAAGGGCTGGATTTGCTCTCATTGGTCAGAATAACCAGCCCCTGGAGTTTGTAGCCATGGAAACGCCGGCTTTCCCTGCGTGAACAAACACGCTAACAGGTTTCCGTGCTGAGTGAAGAACCTGAACAAAGACTGAAACCAGATATGACAGATCTGTGCGACCCGGGAATCTAAACCTCTAATAACTGATGTAAACGTCAGTGGTAGAGATAAGATGAGCGGGCAGGGATTTGCATTTCAGATTGTTAAAAGAAAAAGATGTTGTGTCACACTGAAAATTGTTCCTTGGAACAGAAAAAAGACTCTTTGCTTTCCAACCAAACTTTGACTTTTTTAAATGTCTCAGAGTGTCGCCTGTCTGACCAGTTTAGCCTGACCAGTTTAGCCTCCTCTATCAGAGTTAGAACAAGCACAAAATGATAAATGGTGGACTCGAAGGCTCGCACACTCGCATAGTTTTGAAGACGTTTCTTGGTCGGACCTGCCTGAAGTAATTTTTCTCACCACATGAGTTCAGAGAAAAACTGCAACGATTTCTTGGAAGTCCATATTTTTCTCGATTGTGCCTGTAAGTGTGTTAACGAGCTGCTGAGTGGCTGAAACATCTGGATCGTTTCACAGGTCTCCAAAGTCCTGAACAAATCCGTCACATCCATCTTTTAGCTGCCTCGGTGTTTCATTGTTCTATTCAAAGAGTGGGTTTAAAAACTGAGATGAGCCGGTGCAGTTTTCCATCATCAGTGCTTTTCCTCGAACCTCACAGAGTAGACGCATAAAGATTCGTCTGCTGGTGCTGAAGGTTTAAACTCCCATCAGCTGCTGAAAGCAGAGCTGAGGTTGCTCCAAACTTTGGTTTCTATACATCAGAATAACAAATTCCTGGGTTTAGATTATCCAGAGCACAAACATCTGGCTTTCAAACACTTCTTCAATCAGGGAGGGAAGTGCATCATCCCCCCACGGGCGCCCGGGGGTCCTGTGTGTTTGACAGAGACTTTACATCATGCAGCAGAGCTTCAAGCTGTGCATTCTTCACTCTAAACATTAAAACTGCAGTGACTCAGACTGTGCGCGTTTTTCTTTTTGAAAGTTTATGTCTTCTTCACGTAAACTTTCACGTCTTCTTCTCAGCCCACCCACCTGCTGGTTGGTGCAAATGTTCCCTGATGGAGACGTGCTTAAAAAAAACCACATCAGATCATTGAACAGCCAAAAGTATGTGGACATCCTGTCTATGCTCCAGCTGTTCTCCTGCTCTGACGGCGTCTGCAGGGATTTCTTCCCACCACACAGCAAAATCTCCAGTGTTAATTTAACACTGGAGATTTTGCTGTGCAGCTTCACGTGTCTGACATCATTGAGACCGCTGATAATTTTCTTGGTTGCACTTTTACTTTGGAGGGCTGCTCAGGTATTGACCACCCAAGGATTAGTGACTCATTCTAGCCATTTTTCAGTTTTATTCTTCTGTAAGAACATCACTGTTTGATTTACTACTGGCCCATCCCTTGGCTCTTACTTTGAAACTTCAGTCACTACTTCCTGTTTCCCCACTGGCTCCCTTGGTGCTGTTCTGGTGCTCCTCAGCATCATTTCCTCTGGTAATTTCTCCTTCCACCTCCGCCATGTTGGCCTGCAGTTGGTG